GGTTCTTCACTTAAAATGCATAGAGCTAGCCTTCATTTATTTATATGTCTGTTTATTTAAATTTGGGAAAGCAAATCTGATTGATTTAATCAATTTTGCCAGCTCTACAGTGGAAATTTCTAGAGCTAAATTTGTCTTCTTCTTTGCAAGTACTTTCTGGGGAGCTGCTGCTTAAGAAGGCTAGAGTTTGGAGGCCTTGTTTGGCTGTCACGGAAAAGAAGGCCTAAGCAGAAGGACTCTGAAATTCCACCCCTGCCTTTTCTTTTTGTATGTATATTTAATAAAAATTTTTGAAGAGTAGAGGTGAGGCCGATATAGCATTCAGTGCACCGCCTGGAGTTACCATTATATATCTTGCATAACAGGACCAATCACCAGGCGGATGGTGTAACACCTTTGGCTGTCTACAGTGGGAAGCGAGCAGAAGTGTATGATGTGGTGGGGTGCCTGCAGTTTGGTTAGTAACAGAGCTTTGTGGTTTTGCCTCGAGACAGGACTAAGCAATTCTTAGTTAATTGAAATTAATCTAAAGTTTGAAATTTACCCAAATCCCACAACCGATGCTTAAATTTGTAATTAGTCTACCCTTTGTGAGTTGTTCCCTCTCTCTAAGAACTAGATGAGGAAATGTGGAGCAGGTTATGAAGGAGGCAGGAATCCTGTGCTCACATATTCTGTGTGGAGAAGAAGAATGTGTTTTCATCATCGAGGAGAATAAAAACTGAGAAGCAGAAAGGCCTTAGATTAAATGGTGAAACTTTTGTTAAGAATGCCTCCAAATGGAAAGCATAGAGGAGTGATGAAAAGCATAGCCCAGTGCTAAAGGGCCTCAGTTTAAATCTCACTCTAACACTTACTAGCTGTGTGTGCTTGCACACGGTGCTCAACCTCTCTGGGCCTCAGTTTCCTCATTTCTTAAATGGTGACATAAGAGTGCCTACTCCATAGGGATGCTGTTAAGATTAAATTATTTAATACTTATAAAGAACTTAGAACCATGTTTCCAACATAACAAGTGTCATATGAGTGTTTATAAAAAAAAAAAAAATATTAAGGAGCAACTCGTATTTCAGAATGCAGATTTTCTCAGCATTTCCAGTCATGAAAAACAGTCAAGTCATTCCAAATTTGCTAGAGGAAGTGGCATTTTCTCTGAAACTGCAAATCCTTGGTAACTTTGTACCCTGAAACAATATATAGCTTAATGGATTAAACTAGGTTTTGAGGCAGAGAAAAACCGAATTCGAATACTACCTCAGTGATGCATTAGCTTTAAAATCCAGCCTTGGTTTCTTCATCTATAACAGAGGTCAATAAATTACAGGCCACAGGCCAAATCTGGCCCACCACCTGTAGTTAAAAGTAAAATGTTATTGAAACACAGCCACACAATTTGTTTTCATATTATCTGTGATTGCTTTGGCATTACAAGGGCAGAGTTGCATAGTTAAAACAAAGACTTCTGCAAAGCCAAAAATATTTATTATTTGGCCCTTTATGCAACACATTTGCCAACTCCTGATCTATAATATGAGAATAATAATATCCTGATTTGGATTTAGCAAATGAGATAATGTATAAGGCAGAACTCTACAGAGTCTAGGCTCAGTAAAGAGTAACTATTATCATGAAACAGAGAATCAAAATCTCAACTTGATAATATTTTTGTTAGTTCTGTTTGTTTGCTTGATTTTGGTCTTTTCTATCTTTTCTCTACCTAGGCCATTCTGTCCAAAAACAAAATATGAGCCTCACTTCCTCTAACTTGGATTAAACTAATCTGCCCCTTCACCCACTGCACCTGTCTGTTTAGGCAATTTCTACGGCTCTATTCATTCAAACTCTCAGGGTTTATGTCCTATTGTTTGGAAACATTTGCTTTATATCTCAGCGATTCTACCGTAATCATACAGGAAGCCCAAAGATTCTTGCACCAATCCGTTCTCAATTTTTAATTTTTTATTTAGAAATAATAAAATAAGACATAATATATAAAAATATGTACAATCCATGGTTTGTGCAGTACAATAGGAAGACTTTAGATACAAAAAGACAGCAAACGGGAAAATAATAAGTATCACGATTGTCAAAAGCCGGGATTGTTCAACTCGCCAGAGCCCAGAGCTGAAACCCAACAGAACTAGAAAAGAAATTCTAGTTGGGAGTGGGGAGGTGACTATGCAACACTTTTTTTTTTTCACCTTAACATTATAGACACAGAGTGAAAAAGAACTCATTCTACTTCTCAGAACAAGCTTTTTACCTTTACTGAGTGGCTTATAATAAAATATGGACCGACAATTGTTATTTGCAAGGGGAATATGATTTGGGGGGTAGAGCTCATCGAATAAACATCAAGTTTCGGGATGGGAGTTTATAGGGAAGAAAGGAAATGAAGGGAAGAAATAATGCATTAATAGAATAAAAAAAAAAAGGCAAAACCAACTTTCTCCAGGAATTTGGAAATGACTACAGTGCTATAGTGACATCCTTAGAATGTCTGATTCAAGTATATTCTTAGAGGGATAGAAAACTATTCCTTTCTCAATAATCAAAATAGAATTCACTTTGTCTACCTCTTATCTAAAAATAGCATAACCAAGAATCTATGCCTCCTCCCAAAAATATAATGCCCATCTAGATATGGGCAAAAATTCTTTAAAAGGGAATAATTCCTAAGTAAATTCAGCGGGGGTTTGCTTGCAATAGAGAAGCAACACGTATCTGGAATAGACCCCAGATATTCACGGTGAGTCTCTTCAATTTGCATTCTAATGACATGTGTGCACTAATTAAGGAGACCCAGTCAACAAGGACAAATGTTTTGAAGGTAAAACGCAGCAAAAAATGTTGTGCATTACCTGTGTCTTGGCTCTCGACAAAAAAAATTGCCATTTAAAGCTTGTAACTGTTAAAATACTAATAACTAGAAAAAGCTTTCAAATGAACAGTCCATGCTGAAATAAATAACAGAAGAACATAGCAATACGAACCTTATAAGGCTGGTAAATATTTGCTAAAACCATGCTAACCGGTAGCATATAGGTACTAGCTCTCAGAAATTGCTGCACTGAAATTATACTTTCTATGGCAATTTTTCTCCTTTACAGACTTCTATTTACATTTGGCTTTAAATATGAAAATATCTGATAAACTTTATAAAATGTACACTTTAAAAACATAGCTTCTGCAAAATTTTCTTGAAAAAAAAAAAACAAACCTGTGCACCAGAAATTTTAGATTTTTTTTTTTTCTTTTTCAGAAAGAAGTTGAAAGATTTCCCTCCCTCATTCTTGCCCCCATACCCAACCCCTTTCAAATATCTCAAGTCTTTTGAAATGGCAGCACTGTGTGTGTTTGGGAGGAGACTTCTCTCTGGTCACCCCCATTCTCCACTTTATCTTCAATTAATTTACATATCACTGAATACTCTTTGGTTTGATTATTTTCTTTTGCAAAATATTGAAATAGCAGCAGCTGAAGCCCTCGATATCCTCTCACTGTCAACGGCCAAATGGTTGCCTCTTCAATTCTCTCGTCTACTCAGTCCCAATTCCTCCAACTCTCTAATCAACTTCCCAAACCTGCCTTTAAATGTGGATTTAACATAGCATCCACTTGCTTGACATCTCTATCTTGGATTCAATGAAAATAACGCCACAGCTTTCAAACCCAGTGACTTTGAAGGCTGAGAACAGCAGAAACTGTCATATTATTGCAGGCACCTCATTCAGATATGGCTGTTCAAGAACCAGAGACCATCACAAACATCAAGTTACAAAATACAGGATTCTAGAACAAGCTGTTTTTTAATGGCATACAGGGATATAATACCATAAGAGAGTTGATTTTGAGACTCCAATTAAAAAGAAAAGTCAGCAACGCCAGAATTCACCAATAAAGAACTTTAAACCAAAAAAGAGTTCCATTATTGAGCCAAGGTGGGGAAAAAAAAAAATGTTTCTAGCAAGTCAGGCAGCCAGACAGGAGAGGCTTCTGGAAAAGAATGTGTCCTTAGTAACCTGCTTTAGGGCTCCACAGGCGACAAAGATCAGCTCAGATTCAATCATGAGTGTGCATTCATAAAGGGGAAATAACACTTTTAGACCATTATCTCCTTTACTTGTGATTGTGTTATATTTTTTATGGCCTGTTGGCCCTAAAATACTGAGACATTTTCACTCCTACCCGCTACCATTAAAAAAAGCAACTTTTCTCTCCCTCCTGAATACTTGAGCTGATGTCTACATCAAAGTGGCTTGTCCACATCTCACTGCCTCCCGACTTTGGCACCTGCATCCCATACAGACACTGTAGGCCTCACTTCAGACAGACTGATCAAAATAACCAGCCTAGAGGCCAGGTGTGGCATCTTTCAAAGGCAGCTAAGTCAGGCTGCAAATGTCCTGACAGTCAGAGCAAGGAATTCAGCTGCAGGGTTTAAACCTATTTATCTTTCATGTGGGATGGCTCAGTTTTGAGGATGCCAGTAACTTCAACCTAGGTCTTATCTTGTGGAATAAATTTTGGAATGTGCAAAAAGGGAAAGCCCATAAAAATCTAAGAGCACATCTCTCACCTTATGCTTTAGCCTGGCCAGCACTACGTCACAGGAAAGAAAAGATGTTGATATTGTGCATGTAGGTGTGCAAATTTTACTTCCCCTTTCTTCTTCCTCCTGTAATACGAAAGTTACCTGAAAGAAAACAATTTAAAAAGCACTACACTTACTACACTCTTGAGTATGATGTTCTGTTTTCTGAATAAGGTGCAAAAGGAGAGGGCAGTTCAAGGTCTTGCTGAGGTTCCAAGTTATTGTCTCTTGATTTCAAGGCAGCCGTAGGGCTTTCTTTCCTTTTTAGTATAAGCTCCACTGTGCAAAAATGTGCATTATCTTTGGTATTTATTTTAGGTAGTCTAACTTAAAATTTGAGATAACCCACTAACATCATGGAGGAAAAAAAAAATAACAAACCAACCCAGAGGCTACCATTTGGCTAGTGTTACATAATGCCCTTATGTAACCAAAGAGAGAGAAAGAGAGAGAGGAAAAAAATCAATTCTAGCAAACAAATTACTGGCCTCAAAAAATCAGGCTCTCATTTTTGGCAGCTAATAGCCAAACACTTGCCACTTTGAAGCACATATCATGAGCTTTCAACAAAGTTCAACACTGACTTTTAAATTACACAAAACAAAAACTACACTGCAACAAAAATACAATTTGTGTTCATGTAGTTAGCAGCTTTTCAAAAATTAAGGCAGAGTCTTGCCTTTGTTATGCCATTAAAAACATTCTTGTTCCCTAAAGAGAAGCATTCTGGATAAGTCAAACACCCAACCAAGGCTTGCCTGCAAGTTCAAGTTTTGTAAAAACACAAAACAAAACATAAAAACCCCATAACTTATTCTACAACATGTATGTGCCATCGGGTCACAGGGAGGCATGTTAAGTGCTTTATATTAACCTTCGAGCTTACAGTCTTTCTTTGAAACCACTGTGTAGCCTCAGTCCCTCGTGGTCACTTGCCTTGACCCATCTCTTCGCCAGTACCGTCGTCTGAATAGCTGTTTGGGGCCTTTGACCAACAGACTGTGTTTTAAAGTAAATATTCCAGAGAAGGCATCAGTCAGTCATATCTCTGATTCTCGTCGTAAGGGCCTGGGCTCTAGAGGTACACTTGCCTGGTTGTGAAGGTCTATGTCAGGGGGTGTGTCCGTACTAGTACTTTCTGGAACTCCATTTTCACTGTCATCTTCCTCTTTGCTTGTGAGGGCAACTTCATTTTCATAACAAAATGAATTAGCATTTGAGAGGATATATTTCTTTTCTGCTAAGTCTCTGGCACTACAAAGGGGAGTATTGGGTACTTCATAAGTCTTGTGGAACCTTGAATAGTCCACTTTGTAGTAGTGCTTCTCTTCAAAGAGTACAGGCTCATAGCGGTGGCCCCAAAGGATTTCATTTGCCAGGTATGAGCTACGGCACTGTGTGGTCATGGCGGTGGCTTCCACCATACCTTCCAGTATCACGACAATTTCAAAGTCTGCATTGTCAATGTCCTGTTTACTCAGATCATATAAAGGACTGTCTTCATCTATTTCATGGACTATAGTGATTGGGGACACCAGAAATATACGGTCTATTCCACTGTCAAACCCCACATTGATATCTATTTGATCCAGGGGGATGTACTCCCCTTCAGAAGTAATTCTGGATTTGAGAAGCTGTGCGCGAACATGAGCTTCCACCAGGTGGCTTTTCCGAAGATTGCCCACTCGCCACATCAAACAGAGCTTGCCATCTCTCATGGCGATCACAGCATTGTGACTGAAGACAAGAGTCTCGTTTCTCTTCTTTGGCTTTGCCATCTTCGCCATGACTGCACCAATGATAAAGGCATCAATGATGCAGCCCACAATTGACTGGAACACCACCATGAAAACAGCAATTGGGCATTCGTCCGTGACACACCTGAAGCCATAGCCTATGGTTGTCTGGGTCTCAATGGAGAAAAGGAAGGCGGCCGTGAAGCTGTTGACCTCAGACACGCAGGCTTTGCTCTCTTTAGATGCATCCAGGTCCCCATGGAGCAGAGCTATCAACCAAAACACACAGCCGAAAAACAGCCAGGAGAGAATGAAAGCCAAGCAGAAGATGACCAGCATCCACCGCCAGCGGATGTCCACACATGTGGTAAAGATGTCTGCGAGGTACCGTTGTCCCTTCTCACCCACGTTGATGAACTGAACGTTACAGTGGCCGTCTTTCTTCACAAAGCGGCTCCTGCACTGTTGTCGAGTGTGGACTTTACTCTTGCCGTTCCCAAAGCCATTTGCAACCGCCATGGTGGCCAACTTCATGCCGTCTTCTTCTGAAGAGACAATGCTGTAGCGGTTGGTTCGCACACTGCCCATCGCTTCTGCTGTGGACGCCAGTGCTTCCGCTTCGGAAAACAGTCTGAGTTTTTGCAAAACCCTTTGGAGAAACAGTTTTGAATGTTCAGTGAGGACACACACACAAAAAAAATAAGGAGAGATGGGGGGCTCCAGGAGCTTTGAGGTTCTACCACGGTCTGTCTACTGACATGCAGAGTTACCTCAGTAACTCAGCTGACATCCAGAGAACATGTCCTGCAAAAAAAAGAGAGATCATTCATTACAAAAGAAGTCATTATTAAAGGGTTCTACTCTCTAAGGCAACATTTGCTAGCAAGACATTGAGTCAGATATAGGTAAACATACTACACATCGAATTATAGGGTTTTTAATTTCTTTGTACCCTAAAAAATATTTTTTATTTTATTTAAAAGCATAAAGTCATTAAACATAGAAGAGTTAGTTGTTTGTGACAGTCTTTCAACCAAAATTTCAGGTCCTTTTTCTCCTACTTTTTGCCAGCCATCTAGAAGATTCTATTTTACCAGTCTACTTCTCCTATCTTAGTCTCTTCTTTTGCCTTCTCTGCTTGCTAGGGTCACGAGTTATTAAGCAGAAGAAAGACTTTCTAAGTCCAAGATTTGTCACAAAGCTTTAAGAACTCAGAAGCGTCTGGAGAACATTTCTCATGAATGCAGAATATTAATATTAATTGAGCTGCAGGTGTACTATGGGAGACTATTAGAGCCCTTGACGACACGGTTGAAATTGGAAGGTACAGACTATTTTGTTGAAATGATAAAACCAAGTAGACAGCCCTTATAATCATCTGAAATGCAACCCAGTTTCTGGAAACTGTTTGGGCTTGCTCTATCACTTCGCACACTTGAAAGCAGGCACTATGCAGAAATGCCTGAGAACATCTCTGTTAGTGCAAGTGACTCTGACTTGAAGATGCAGATTTGCTCCGGGGGAAAGAGAGCGATTCTGTTGCCTAGCAATAAGAGTCTTGAAATTCTCCGGAGATGGGATTGCCATGTGTAATGACAGGCTAGGAAGTCAGCACCTTTGTGCCAAAGGACCAGGTCTTTAGCAGATTGAGATAAGGCAGGAACTCATTTCATGAGGGTCCAATCCTGTGGTTTCCCAAACAGAAACAACTTTGTAGGAGTAGACCATAAATGTCAGTCAGCTTACTTTCACTTCGAGGGCTCTTGTTTGCTGTATGTTCCCATGGAGAAGGCACTCACCTTTACTTAATGTGAACAAATAGTAGTTTTCAGTTTTCTCCTCATGCCTTTTTCTCCCCTAGGTAAAAATGATCTACTTACTTTAAGTTTCCATCTTCACTCCCAAGAAACTATTTTTTCCTTGACTAAGACAAAGTCTGAGCTGTTTTCTTTACCAAGTACAAACTAACAAAACTAATATAGCATAGAACTAAAAAATAAAAGTGATTCTTCCCTTTTCAAACCATCCGATCTATCTCCTGTAATAAAGCGGGACAATGAAAAACAGATGGAAAGGATCAGAAATTTGTTGAAGCACTGATAATGACTCGACTTTTTCTTTCTCCCCTGAAACCACATTAAGATGAAGCAGTTAACAGACCCAATGTCAGCCAAGCCAACAGCAAACAAATAAAGCAAATCATTGACCTTGTTTCTGCACACCCCCTTAAAGAGAAGCAAGGTGCATTGGCTTTGAAAATGCCTTGTTACTGTCTTTTTTCACTTCTCCCTCTTTATCCAAGTTATTATGCAAGAATGTGCCCCAACACATTTTTCCTGAGATTAGTCATCTGTGAAAATTGCAATGTGTGTTACATTTTGGCAGCTTTTGACACCTAAATGATGCCCGATTTGAAAGTGCCTTTGAATCACTTTATAAAAAGAAGTTACTGTGCCTTCCCAGTCTTCCACCTGCTTCAATGTTTTGTCTGCTTCCCTACGAAGTTTGTACTTGGACAAAAGAAACAAGACTCCTATTCTGCACGGTTCTAGATCCTGGACATGGAAAGAATTTTTTTAACAGTGATTTCAGCTTATTTGGCTCATATGAAATTGCCAGGCATTTCTACACAAAGACATATAGAAATAATAAAATAACATCAAATGTAGGTGTACTTTCTGAAAAAAGGGGGGAAAAGCCTCATTTCAATAGTGCTTGTATCCTTGAGTTCTGATTGATTTCAGAATCTTATATTATAAGCTGACAGCAAGAAATTCCCTTTTCATGATTCAAAACAATCATTCCATCTGAGTTACCATTAGGGAGCATGAGTAGACAGTCTCGAATTTCTTTTGACTTATTTCTGCACTCTTTCCAGATTAAAGCATAACGACCATGTGAAATCTAAAGACTGAATTATGACCTTCCAAAAATCTTGACCCCAGGACATTAGTTTGAATTCCACAAAACACACAATACCAGCTTCCTAGGAATAGCTTTCCACATTTAGAACCTTGAAAATAGCCTGTATTGAGCGACTATTATTTGTCTTATTTCCATTGCTAATGACAGAATTTGTTCCACATGCGGGAGCATCATTTAGATATTTTACCGTTTCTGCCTGGAAAGGGGGAAAAAAAGAGTTTTTTGGCAAAATGGAAACTTTTGTCACTTCAAATAGATATGCTCCAAAACAGATTTATGTGTGTATATGTATGCACACACATTATGTGTATTCAGACTTTTGTGGAGCTGATTTACATAGCAAAAATCTACAGCCTGCCACAGTTTGATAGGGTAATTGTCTTAATATTTCACTAGGAAGAATGCCCTTCCTATCAACCTGCCCGCACGCCGAGTGGTTTTAGGCATACAGAAAACTTCCTTGCCTGCTTTTTTCTCACTGAAAATCACCAATTTATGAGCATCTGGGAAAAACTTTCATTAGGAATAGGGCTTTCATGCAATTTTATTTCAGGCATATATTCAAAATAATTCTTTGAGAAACATTCGATTAAGAGTAGATGAGAACACCAAGTGATCTGATTCCTTCATGGGTACAACTCAGGAGAATTGATATTTGATGAGGAACAATGTGTAAATTCTCCTTTCAGCCAAAATATTTAAGGGCTTGATGTAAATCTAATAAACACAAATAATCATTTTACTCAGGCTATATCCAATGAGGTAGAAAGTATTTCTGGGAAATGGAGAGGCTACATGTGGTGCTGTTCATGTTAAGACTATTTATAGGCTGAGCCAAAATTAAGCATAAGCGATGGAAAAAAATAGTTCAGTGTTTCAGTCTTAGGTAGATGTTAAAGGAGAGAGAGCTATGATAAGCACAAGGTCAAGGAGGTAACGTGTATAAATGAGTGACTCGAAGTCATTTTTAGCATATAGGAAATGTTTCCAATATGGATTATAAAAACCAGAAGAATGTAATTATGAAGAATAAATGAGAATAGATTTGTCCCATAATACGCTCAGGATGTACGGTGAATAAGAAAGTTTCTAACTAAGGATAGGAAATAAGGATAGTAAAAGAGAATGTACTGGGCTGAGAGAGAGGTCTGCTAATGAGTGTTTAGAGCAGCTATTCCCCAGCTGACGCCACATAGAGCAGCCTGAGTGTGCTCTGGGCACATGTTGCTATGTGCGCATAACTGCTAGCAGGCAACCTCTTAGAAGCTCAGTAAACAGAAGGGAGGGGGAGGGGAAATGGGGGGGCATAAATAGATACCCACTGATCTATGTGAGCACTATAACATTTATACTCAACAATGCATGTAGCATCCCGCAACATTTGCAAATGCGGAAAAATATACATATTTCGTAAACAAAAACATACACTAAAAAAAAAATGTGAAGCAATCCATCTGTTCAGGTAAAGATATGGTCAATCATTCAGGCTACTCAAAAGTCATACAAGGATGCTACAGCTAACCAGGATTCTACAACTGGAGAGTCTGAAGGAAGGAGAAATACTGTGTTCTTAAAAAAAAAAAAAAAAAAAGCCAAAGTCACAAGAGTTCAGAACAAATACTCCTATGGATACTAATGACAGAAAAGAAAGTTTCACCAAAACATGAGGGGGAGGGGCTAAAAGCAAAGTGAAATGACCTTGACCCCAACTCTCACCCCTCCCACCATCCTTGAAGTAACATCTCTTACCCCTGAGCATGGAGATTTTTCCGGATAATGACAAACACTTGGGGTGGGGGTGGAAGTGAGCAGGAAAAAACTAGTAAGTGTACAGGTAATATACAGCAGATATACAACAGGTTAATGAGAGGAAATCTGATAGCCTAGATTATTCATGTGATAGGAAAACAAGTGGTAAAAGACAACATGCATGCTTTGCATTCCCAAAACATGTTTTCCAATAATGCCTTATTTGCTAACAGGTAAATTCTGAGTTTATGAAAATCTCCAGGATTCACAGCCGTATCCTAGTTACCATCTTACTGATAGGCTGACCCAGACACAGACATTAAACTGCCCATTTCCTATGTCTATTTTTTTTTCGGTTGTCATGATGAGTCTATGTTATGATGCAATCTTTTTGCAGAATCAAGTCGTTTTGACCACTGTGTTTCCCTGAAACCACACTGTCTTCTACTTAAACATTAATACTATTATTTCTAAGAATAATAAGTTGCTTAGGGGAGAGTGACATATGATGTGAAAGTTTTGCGATCTGCAGGCTCAAATCCAAGTCGGGCTCCCGCTCTCTTCCCCAGAAAAGCAACTTTGAGACGCTCGCTCTGTTTGGAACGCGAAGCTACACTTGAAGCAATGACAAAGGAAAAAAAAAAAAAGACGCCAGGATCGACTAGCGCTGAGTCCCAACGTTTGCCAAGGTTTGAGACCAGCTGTCTAGACGCACGCCCCTCCTTTTTTTTTCTTTTCTTTAGAGCGAGAATCGAACACAGGCTCCCTCGCCCTTGTCTCCAAACTCACTATCTCGCTACAGCTGGTGCATTGAAAGTTATGAGCACAAACAGATGCTGCAGAGAAATCTGTTTCTATTGCTCAACTGTTCCAAGCATGTCTCAGTATTTTTAGCTCTGGGGATGTTCTGGTGCGCACACAAACTCTATAGGCATGATCTGGGACTCCGGAGCATGAGTGAGCGCTACAGCAGCGTGACAGCTGGGCACCTCTGGAGCAGCGGGGCAGGGGAGGGTCCGGGACGGCAGCCCGAGTCCATTCCCCAGGACACACAGGCAGCGAGAGAGAAGGAGGGAAGAAAACACACAGCAGCCCTTACCTGTTGCTGGCGCAGGAGCATGGGGACATGGAGTGGAAGTGGGGGGTACAGAGGCATGTAAGATCCAGTAGTTTGTAAAAGCGAGTGAGCCAAAGCAAACCAGAATTCCTAAGACCCAGCTTGCCGGCGCCGGGGAGGGCGGCGCGCTGGCCAGGGCTCCAGTGCGCTCTGCAATATCCTGAGCTCTTTTGAGGCAGTCCGCGAGATACCGGCCAGCCTGGCCCCGCCCCCCGGCCGCTGCCGGCCAATCGCAGCGCGCCTGGCCGCGCAGCCGGCCCCGGGAACCGCGGCGGGGAGGGGAGGATGCTACACCCGCGGCCCGCGGCGCTGCCAGCGAGGAGAACCTGCCGCCGCTTCCTCCCCCTCCGCCCTCCGAGCCTGGCTGGGGAGTCCGGCCCCGGCTGGGGAGGAGGAAGTTGCGCCCCAGTTGGGACAGCAGCAGGTGGGAAGCTCCACAGCGGGGCTTTTGCGGCTGCCTAATTGCAGCCTGGCCTTGGGCAAAGCTTCCTACCCCTCTCCGAGCCCCACACTTCCCTTTCTCTCTCCCCGGTGGCAGCTGTGCTATGCTTGCTCCTCGAGAGGCCTGCGAGGTGCCAGTGCCTGGGCGAAACGTTTGCAGCCGGGGAGGATTGCATTTCAGCCCCGGCGCGTCTCCCTCTCCCCTCCTTCCCACTCAGAGCCCCACGTCCCCCGAACCCCCGCAGAACCTGCGGTGCGCGGAGGAGCCGCGAATTAAATGCAGAAAGGGACCGGGACCGGCGCACAGAACCCGGCTGGATTTAGACGCGCTCCAGTGTTGCAACTGCATAGCCGCTTGGCTCTCTCGTCTCCCGGCTGTTGGTGAATTACTTACAAAGCGCTTAGACTTCTCTGAAGGGTGAACGACTCATTCTCTCTCGCATTGTCCGCCCTCAATCTCTTTCTCCAGCACCGCCCGGCACGCTCTGCTGATCTAAAATCAGAGCAATTACAGAGTAGTGAATTCTCTGGAACAGCAACTCCTACAGACACTCAGCTCTGCCCTCGCATCAGCGCCTCCCAGCCCTCATTCCCAGGCAAGAGCATGCAGACCATTTAAAAACCCATGTCAAGTTCAGTGTTAACCCGGTCTGGATCCTGGAACATTACCGATTAATCTGTGCGTGTGTGTGTGTAAATTGAAGAGTAAGTGCATATGTCTCTGAGTATTTTGGTGTCATAACGAAGCTTTCCTGTTAAAGGACACAATATATTTAGGAGTCTTCCTTACACCGAGTTTGAAATCCCTGCGTGTGTGTTGCATGTTTATTTCCTCAAGCGACCAAATGCGCCTTTCGTGCGGTTTATTTAAACCTCTAAAAGGCCTCCTAGAGTCGCCAAACTACTTCAGCGAACTAGCCCGTATTCTGGGCGGCACGGACCGGGTGTATTTTTGTGTGTAAGGGAGGTGAAACTGACAATTCAAGGGAAGGGTCTGCGCCAGTACCCACCTCCTAGCCTCATACCCACACACGGCCCCTAGGAGGTGCTGGTGAAGTATGTTTAGGTTTTGCAGATACGTACTTAGTCCCGCGTTAGCAAGTGTGCCACTTTCCCTAGCACTGGGCAAGATACTGAAATTACAACGGTGTGGAATAGGTTGTGCACGCAGCGTGACTTCTCTGATATCCAAACGCGTTGCTGTTGCATTCCATTTGTTGAGATCACACAGTACTTCAAGCCCTATAACCAACTATCTTGCCTTTTAAAGCCCTGTGCATGGGAATAACGCCTCACACAAGGGATGTCTACGTTAACGTGTAAGTCATGTATTGTTTATAAACAGCTTGAATTAACTCAGCAAAGTAGAGGGGTGTATAGGAACCCAGGTTGTAGCCCAAAGCTCAAAGAACCTGGAGATAGACGAGCTAACTCTGTACAGCCAAAGGGCAGACGATCAGTAACAGCTCACTCCACTGCAATAAGCTTCTTCTGAAATGTGTTTCCTCATGGATTTCTTCTAAGAAACAGGCAGGAGAGGTCTAATTAATCCCTTAAAAAATATTAAGCCTAAATGGGAGAGGGAAATTAATCATTTATATACATTCTCTTCTTTATTATGATTCAATCTGTGCACCTGTAGATGGCTAAGAATTTTCCAAACCATGTGAACTCAGACAGGCAACACTTTTATTTCCAGGTAATGAGCTCTCTTTGAAGATCAGTCACCCAGAAAGGGATGCCATTTTCTGGAATTTGGATTGAAATTGTTTTACTTTACTCTTCTACTCTAAATAAACTGAATACAGGCCAAGATAGATTCGTATGATAGGGAAATCTTAAAAGAAATGAATACAAAGTTACAAGGTTACGGTTGGTTGTATAAATGTAGTTATGGGAGGGGGCAAACAAACATACATATCCTATTCTTTCTCATCAACATCACTCTCTCCTCCCATGGACTGATATGCAGCAAGGCTTATTTCTTGAAGTAGAAAGTTAGAGAAAAGCTGATTATTTTAATAAGCAGCCTCCCAATCTGAATAGAATTTTTACCTTAATTATTTAGCTAAATAAGGAAGTAGGAAGGATTAAATTTTGAAAGTAACTGAAACTTTGTAAATGCATGGTAGCATTGATTAACTCTATTGCCTCATCTTATAAAGAAAAAATATAAATGTGCATTTTAACTATTAAGTGACTTTTCACTGTGTCCCTATTGGGAAAATTCTAGTGTTCCAAAGCATTTGGTGCTTGGGTAAATATACTTTTTGGAGCGATGAGTGATACAGATTTCTCTAGTCAGAGTCTATCTTTTTTGGCTGAATCAGTCCTTATTTAGCAAAAATCCCCGTGAGTTTTGGACACCAATGCAGTTGAGTGTTGGGATCTATCTGTGGATTAAATTTTTCCAAGGAAATGACAATTATGCTCTTACTGATTCCCTCCACGGCAACCACCTATAATATTAGAGCCAAATATTAGTCATAATCCAGATCTGCAGTCAGATTATGAATGCTCTTATGACGCAGAAGGTGATTGTTCCACTAGGAGCACAAATCTTTCCTTTGCACTTATATAAAGACCTCCAGCAGTTAGATATGTTTTCAGACTTCCATTAACCATATATGCAGTGCAATTTCAAAATGATGAGAGATGAACAACTCCTATCATTTGCATCTACTAGGTATTAAGAACCACTTACTTATCTTCACAGTAATAATTAATAGTAATAAATGAATATCAGATTGACTTGAAACGTAGACAGGATGGGTTTGCAATCTGCTGCTATAGGACAAGCCAGCTACTATGGTATTTTAAGGCGCTGAATGTAATCTTTTCTACTGAAAAACAGCTTTGGCAATTTCACTTACTGCCTTGGTAAGATTCAATCTTCATATTAAATTCAGTAAATGTATTTGTTGAGTAGCTACTTTGTACTTTAGCTATGTGCTAGGTGATACGGGAGACATAAGAGCCTTAGGAGGAACATTTCCTTCCCTCTAAGAATTCAGTCTCTAATTGAGAAGATGAACAATGCACCAGTGAAATCAGATGACAAAAGACAATATAAGGCAGCCTATGATTAAGAGCTAAAATGGATCGAGCAAAAATTAAGAAAAAAAAATTCTGGAGAGTTTCTGAGTGGAATGAAATGGAGTCGAATTTATAGGGAAGTCTTTAGGATGGAAGGCTTGATATGTATAACATATTACCATGTGTAGTTGTATAAGGAAGCTGAGAGCATACCAGAGAACAGAATTGCCTCCTCATTCAGTTTATGCCCTAAAATGCCTGTTATGCCCTCAGATCTTTCTATATACATGTAAGCTTGTGTATAGATGATAAGTTGCTTCTAAGAACGACATGTTCTTGCTGCATGCTGCTGCCTACACACTGTTTCTCTAAAGCAATGGGATTTATCCCACAAGCCTTATTTGCCATTTGTCAGCACTGTAACACACAGTGATGATGTTTTATTTACCTGGCATACCTGGCAATGCAGCATATCACAGAACGGCTTTTCTAAATAACTGAAATTTATTTGGGTGGAAATTATTTTCTCTGATATATTGTATGCATCCTCAAACTCGCTGATTACCCCGTAGCACTCTACATATTTCTAGTATAGCATATTTGGTTCCTCTTTTGCTGTTACAATTATTTTCCTATGTTCGTTTCCACCTACCAATAGTGAGATTTTCGAAATTCACTGCCATGTCTTTTTCATCTTTACATCTTCATTGCCTTGCATGTGGTAGAGTAAATAAGTCAGTCTCAATAAATGTCAATTGAATGATGATATGAATGAAAGTAACAATGTTTTTGAGTATAATATGACTTTTGGATAATGACTCAATATCATTATAATAAACATAAGCGATGTTATTTTTACCCGCAATAGAGTGGGCCTACCAGGGTCCAGTAAGAACAGTGTCCTCTACATTAAATGACCCTAGACTAAGTGTAGTTAAGTCTTCTGCTTGTTTTTCCTTCTTGTTCATCAATGACAGCCTTCACTTCACATTTTTGCTTCTGCCAATGTGCCTTGAATCTACCAGGCTGTCACCACGCTTGAATTTGTTGATTCTAATCTGCACTGGGCTCAGAAATTATGTAACCAAGGTTGTTAAAAAAGATATGTAAAGTAAAAGCAAATATGATCTAAAGGACTTAAAGTGAATGTATATTTTTGAAATAGAATGAGCAGATGCTAAATTTGGAGTTGCCTTGTTTTGGTCAGTTTCCTTTTTGGGTAAAAAATTTCAGGATATGGATTTATGACATCCATTTTAGCTTCTCAGAGCACTTAAATGCTTTAGTCCTTGTATCTGCTGTGTTATGAATAGTTGAGGAAGACCTCTGTGTAAGTGAGGTGCCTGTGTGTTTGCAAATATGCAGATGTCTCTATGTATATGTACAACAAAATCATATACTTATTTATTGAGAAATCATTTGAGCGCTTACTGTGCCCATTAATATGATCTTTATTTTCCATCAAATATATTAAAAGCAACAACAATAAGTGGGATTGTTCTTTAAGAAGCTCCCACTTCCAGAGCAGCCAAGTTATTATTTAGTCAATTACTCTTCTGTCATGCTCGGGAAGACTTCATTCATCTCATGTGGGTGAGACAATTTCACTCTGAAAATACCATATTCATCTTAGGGCCGGACCCTACGTTACTATGATTTTAACACAGTGATTACAATGATTATTTCATCTGTTGTCT